GATAGGAATTGATTTTTGATGCTTCTTTGTATGTAATCTCTTTAGTACGACGGCGCATTAGGCCCATTGAAGAGAAAAAAGTAAAAAAGGAAGAATACATTTCCATCAAAAAACCTCAGAAATTGTCTGTTTAATCTCAGAAATCTTCATTTATAAAACTTGAAAATATCCGTGCTCTGAAAAGTTAAAAATTTGGCAGAAAAAAAAAGAAATTTTGAAATTAATCTCAGAAATGTTTCAGTGAAAATTTGGAAATTTCCCAAGATGCAACTGTTGCACACTTCAGCGGACACAAATATGTCATTCGGTTCAATAAAGCTGATGTGACGCAGTCAGATCTGAAGGGAGTGGAACTGGTTTGACTGATCCCATGTGAACCCTGCTGGCTCCGACTCGCTTTTCTCCTCCTAATCATCTCAGTTATTTGCAGAGCGTGGGGATGTGATCGGACTCTCCTCGCTGGGAGTCGACTCTCTGAACGGGTCGGCATTGTTCTGCAGCCCACACGGGACGCCGTGTGGGCCACTCAGGAAAGGCACGTTTCGCTCCCGCCTCCCTCCCTGAACACGAGCCCTCTTCCTCATGTTTCAGCCTCTGAGCGGGGCTGGGAATATGTGACGACTTGCAGACACATGATACAGGAATTTCTGGATAAATCACCCACATGACTCGATTTAAAACAAAAAGAAGGAGCAGCGTCGTCACAGTCGGCGCTTCCTGCCATAAAAACAAAGCAGACTGCGGTTCAGTAAAGGACTTCGGCTGATGGATGACGCCACGCAGAAGAGCGCTCGTGTTTTTCTGTTTTGTTAACAAAACATGCAGCAACAAGGAGCATCGCTGCCTTGCAGAATACCATTCGCTTTAGTCACTCATCTCTGCAGCAGATAATACAGGGTATTTATATTTAACGGAGCAAGTGGCATTTTGGGAAAAAATTGTTGAAGGGAATCATGGCAATTTAAAAAGAATTGTGGTTTTGGATTGAAAAAAGTTTGGATGGAAACAATGGAAACACTTTTTTTGCATCACACAAGTTACACCATCAAGAACCAGATGTTACTACTGGCACAAACCACAATGAAGACGACAACAGGAAGTAGCTGGAGGATGATGGCGCAGCATCGTTTTAATGGCTTATTTAAAAAAATAACTTATAGGAAACCTATACAGAAAACAGGAAATTTATATGCAACTCATAAAGTACTAACTTGAAACTTTCCAGGTACTTTTTAAGTTATCCATGACACAAAATATTATTAATGGTTATGCTACTTAGTTAAAACTCAACAGAACAATTGAATTAGCATTAACTGTTAGCAGGTTGTTGTGAATGTTTCTTTTACTAAAAAAAAAAAAAAAATCGATAAAAAATTGCATGGCTTAAGGAAGTCTTCATTTCAGCTATGTAAAAGTAAACACATGGAAATATTACTCATATCACTGAGCAAAAAGTCTTATTTTATATATGAATATATGTAATAAAGCAGAAGTTTAAAAAAAATCTAATTCAGGAACACAGAAAAAAAGTCCTGTTAGAATTTTGTCTTGTATCTGTAGCTTAGGAGAAATTATGACAAAATAACCGCATTACAACTTCTCATTGACTGACTGAAAATGCTCAACATCCTCATGAAAAAAAAGAAACCTCTTTGAAACCATAAATGATTTAGTTTCCTGTTTGTCCTGTAACATGACGAGGCCTTTCCGGGTTTCTTAGAGGAGTTCGGTCTTTAATTCCACCCCCAACAAGAGGAAGCAACAAACGACTTATGAGTGCAATGCTAAAAATACGCTTCCCCTAAAGACAGGCTTCGAAACATGAAGCATAAGTACAGAAAATAAAAGCACCCCCCATCAGCTGCATGCATTTCCTGCAGCAACAAAAATATTCTCCATGATGCAGCGGAGCTCTGTGGTGTGACGGGCACGCGTCTAAAAAGTGCTTAACGAGGTGTATTGATACAACAGTGAGTGGAAAATGTCAGGGGTGTTGATGACAACCGGGGAGGGAACTAAAGGTTTTATTATTCAGCCGAATTACCAATAATTACAAGCGATGACCACACAGATACCCTGGTGTTAATTATTACCCAGAATCAGATCTTACAGTTGTGGGATTAAAGCAGAACAACAGACAACAAAGCAAACATCCAGGCAGGTTCGTCTCTCACACCTGAGGGGCTTCTCAGTCCACCCAGCTGGCCAATCACAGTCCCCCAAAGCTCTGCATTACTAATTCAGGTAATCCTACAGCTAATTGAGAGCTTTTTCACACCTGATAGTCTAGTAGTTTCGATTCAATTGAGGACCAAAGTTGCAACATTTGGTACATTTTCAGCTGCTGCGGTTCGCTTTCACACTGAGTCAAATTAAACCAAACTCATTGAAAAAACCTGTTTCCCTCCTCACCTGTAGGGGCGCTGCACCGAGAAGTACTGAAGGAAAATATGTCCAAACCTCTGAAGAAGATACGAACACAACTTTCTTCTTCACCAAATGTAGGCAAAAAGATGTTATCGGATATTTCTTTTGTCTTTGATTAGAGATCACAAGCTAGCTGTTTGTTTAGGCTTTTATTTACCCAGAATGCCCTGCTCTGTAGTCCAGTTCCTGCATTTAGAGTGGTCTGTTTTACGTTCACATGTACATTCAAAATGTAGCAAAACTCACTTCAATTGAACTAAAACCTACGTTATTAGAACAGCCTGTCACAATGACAAACTTTGCTGAACAATAAATTGTCCCAGAAGTTGTTGCAATAAAAATAGGATTGTTTGGAGACCATATTTAAGTAAAACAATGTAATAGCATAATAATACAAAACAAGATAATGAATTTTAAATTTCAATAAACAGGTAACACTGGAACTGAACGACATTTTAAATATCTAAAATAAACAAAACAGTAGAAACAACAAATAAAACTAATTATCAAGTCTCTGTAAACAAAATTGTTTTCAGACCAAAGTGAAATACTGAAGACTTTAGTCATCCAGTTTTTGGTAGAAAGAAAGAAATGACAAATCATGCAGTTTTATGCTGATAGTTTTATGCTAGTTTTCTATTGCGTATTCACACCAAACAAACAAACAAACAAACCAGAGTTTGATTCAAACTTGACTACCTTATAAAATAACATTTCTGTTAAAAGTTAGTAGCTGTGAAGCAGCAACCATCAGAATCAGTTTGATGAAAACTGAACAGTAAGCGCTATTTGTTATGATGATAGCTGTAGGATTTATTATCGTCACTAAAATGACCCTTATCAATTAGTCATCTTGCCATGACAACAATTTTTAGTAGGTTATGTTTCCAACCCCAAGAAGCATTAGTCAGATTAGAATTGTAATTTTGTAGTTATTTTCTTTCTGTTGGGATTGTCAGTAAAAGCTGCATTTATGTTGTTATTTGGAGCATTAAGCAGAAAACTGTCTGTTTAAATTGACTATAGGACAGTGGTTTTTATTTAATGATGTTATTGATATTGTACTGTGTTTTTGTAACCAATTGTTTAATTGTATTATTGTCAGGACACTCTTATTGTAAAAGAGTTTTATCCTGGTTAAAGTTGCAATATGTAACTTTTATTAAGAATATGTGTTTTTTTTTTTTTTTACATATTTATTAAAAATGTCACCATGTCCTGACACTGAAATATAAGACGGATAATCTGTGAAAAGATCGATCTCCTTCATAAACTATCAGAAGCACTGATACAAAACAAAAACAACCAATCAGAGCCAGGAGGCGGGTCTTAGCGTTGTCAATCAAGCTGCTAAATCTGCTAATGGTATAAAAAGAACTCACTGTTTTATGAAAACTGTTTATCCACAATCATCAGTGGCTAAGCTAACTAGCTGTAGCATCCACAACAGGCTTTGCTGGTGGGTAGCTGTAGTAGCTGTAAGACCCGCCTCCTGCCTCTGATTGGTTGTTTCTAGCAATGGGAGAACTGGGAGAAGGCAGACAGGCTTCATTTCTTTGTGCTGAGATTATCTGTATGCCAAGACATAGTGACAGTTTTAACAAATATCGAAAAAACATATTTCTGTTAATGTTGCATATTTCAAATTTTAATAAAGGTTTCACAAAAAAATGTTGTTTATATTCTCCAACCCTGCTTAATTTGATAGTTACATTTACTCAATTACATTTAGCTGAGTAACTATTTTTTTAAAAGAAAAACTTTTCAGAGTATTTTTACTACACTGTACTTTTTACGTTTTCTTGAGTAATTATAATAAAGTATTGTTACTCTTGAGTAAAATTTCTGGACACTGTTCCCACTGTCAGTAACTTAACTGAATGAAAAAGAAACTTGTTTTTACCAAAGGGTCACCAGATACAGACACACACAAGTTTGTTTATTGAAAAAACTGATTTGGAAAAAAAATTATCATTTTGTTAGTAATATGAATTATTGTAATTTTTATCATTGAAATACCAAATTTTCCACATAACGTTATATTTTGGTCCATCTGATTATTTAATTTAAATATTAAATGATTGATCATTTGATCGGTTACTCAGTACTTGAGTTGGCTTTTTACCAAATACTTCTTGTAATTTTTGGATGGCTACTTTTTATTTTTACTTGACTAAAAATATGTTTAATTATTGCTACTCTTCTCTTCAATTTTATTTTATTTTATTTATTTTTTGTAGTACTCTGCTCACTTCTCAAAACATTTAACCTGACATTGGAATAAAGTAGCTAATGCTTATTTTTTGGTGGCTTTTCTAATCTTGTGCCCCGTGGTAACAGATTCATTAGCTACGGCCCTGGCCTGGAAGCTCCTCTCCTCACCCAGAGGACCAGAAGTGACCACATGATGTCTGCGTCTTAGACCCGCTTCCCTTTTTTTCCGAAATGCGTCAAAACCCAGAATACGCGTCCAAACAAGACCAGCTGCGGTGCAGGAATGCAGAAGCATCACGCACCGACACATTCATAACGGCAGCCACGCACACGCGTGTCTTACAGTTTTCGAGACTCACCGTGGCCGAGCTGAGGCCGCTGTCCGTCAGCGTCAGGTGGTGCGGCTCCCACCTCCGCAGGTACTTGGAGGTGAGCAGCTTGCTGAGGAAGGTGCGTGGGTGTTTGACCACGCACACCTGGATGTCCCCTTCGTGCAGCAGCTTGTAGCGCATCCCGCTACTGCTGCAGTGGTGCAGGGACCTCCTGCACGGCCCTGCGCCCAGCTTCGTGTTGTTGTTGCCCTCGGACATCTCCCCCAGTAAGGGCTTGCTCTCCTCGCACTGGTAGAACTGGTTGTTGTGCAGCTCGTTGGTTCCCCCGCCGCCGCTGTTGTAATCCATTTTCTCCCCCAGTAATCCCAGTATTTATTGTTCCCAGTGGAGTCCTGGCGGAGGGTCGCGGAGGTTTTTTGTTTGTTTTAAAATAAATCAGAAGGTCGCTGGGATGAGGGGAGGGAGAGGGTGAGGGGTTACCTACCAACACACGGACAGGACGTCAGCAGATCCAGATGTTTCAACCGTTTAATCACTCACTGACAATAATCCACCATTTTCCTCTCCGTGAACAGTCTTCACGGTGCGCGTACTCCCCCCACTCCACGGACACGGCGCCGTTCTCAGAGAGTGAGGGCCATGGCCTGATCCAGCGGGGGACACCTTGGAGCCGGACTCGGTAAATCCTCGGGTGGAATCGGAAGAAAAACGCGTCGTTCCGGCGTCTCCGGGCTCCTCAGAGGCTGTTGGAGGCCATTTCTGCCTCGCCGATCGCTTTTATTCTCCGCTTTTCCTGCTGACCGTCTCAGCATGAAGAGGAGACGGCACTCTGCGCTCATTGGACCCTGCCCCGTCACGTGACGCCGGACTGACGTCAATTGGGAGGCGAGCGGATGAGCCGTGCGTTGTTTTACCTCAGAGTGTCTGCTGGGGGCGCGCGCGCGAATGGCTCTCCCCTCCCTGGATGCGCGCGCATAAAAAATGGACTCCGGGCGAAAGCCTCCTCCTCTTCCTGCATAAGAATTTATGCATCATTTCTTCTTCCCTGGAAATTATGCATAATTTCATGACTAAAATTCTCCAGTTAATCAGAATAAAGTGAAAAACATTCATGGATACTTTGTGACATTATAAAAATTTTAAAATTTGAATTATTTTAATTTAATAATTAACTTAGCTTTATCTTGTCAATATATTGAGAATATGATCATATTTCTGAATGAAGTTTGCATGCTCTCCAGCTGCCTCCCACAGTCCAAAGAGTGTACTTAGTGTAGAGGAACTAATTATTAAATTTAAATAATTTATATTACAAAATTATTATAATATATTGTATTGTATTATATATTTCTACTCATTAAAAGCACAAAATTTAATATATTTCAAATTTTCTTAACCCATATTTCAAGGAAAACATTGAGAAAAGAATATTTGCATGTAATTCATGGTATTTCAATATATCATTACATTTTATTCTGTAATTGATTTTCTTTTTTCATATTTCCATTTAATACATTTGAACTCTTCTTCAACCATTTCGATAATGTTCTACCATTTCTTGCCATTTCTGTACATATTAAGCTTCAGTTTTCAGCACAGCTTTTAATTATATTATATTATATTATTGTACTTTTTATTAAAATTTCTTTGTAATTTAATAATTAATTTATATTCACATATATTTTTAGTGGGCTGGTTACCAGCACTTGTCAGTTTTTGTTACTTTAAAAAAAAACTATTTCTTGTTGCTTTTTAATCGTTTTTGTATATTGATTGATTGATTGATTGATTGATTGATTGATTGGTTGGTTGGTTGATTGATTGATTGATTGATTGATTGATTGATTGATTGATTGATTGATTGATTGATTGATTGATTGATTGATTGATTGATTGATTGATTGATTGATTGATTGATTGATTGATTGAACACACAAATGGTCCACAAAAACAAGGACATGGTAATTAATAATTCAGTTTAAACGTAAGGTCGTTTTAACTTTGCTAAATTTTAATCTTTGAAACTTAGTTTTCATTTGAATATTATTTATATATTTTTGTGTTGAATTTCGTGTTGATATAAAGAGGTAAAATTGTTATTTTTGTATTTGGCAATTTGTGAGAGCTATCAGTTTATTTGTTGACCCAATAACACGTTTCACCGATTTGAAACGAGATAAAGTTTCCCATCAACATGTTTGAGTCATCCATCTGCTCTCCCACTCGCTGACTGTACTTCTGCGGAAAACGAGCTATCATTTTCAAACAGATAAGATTGATGTAATTGGTAGAGGTATCTTTCCCAATTTCTAAAGATAACACTCTGGGAAAAAGCCAGCAGAAGCAGAAACCAGCCCAGGTAAGAGACTCAGACAGGGAATGAAAGCTTCAAACCGGCCCAGCTCAGGGATCCCCGCTCACAACAACAAATGCCTCAGTTGAGATTCCCAAAACGATCCGTGTTATTTCCGTTCTGTCATCGTTTGCGTCTTTTACGGAAGCTTTGACTGTAATTCCTGCTATCTGGTGCTGCAGGTTCAAGCAGGCCTGAACATCTGCAGGTTGTGTCAGCGCTCAGTGCGTCAGCGAATACAAGAAACAAGGCTGGGAAGAGCCAGGAATGACAGACATTGCATAAGAATCATTGGAAATCATGGAAATTCTGAAACATTTCATGACAAGTTTTCATGTCGGGATATGTCTGGAGGGCTAGTTTGCTGTAATTTATCTGTAAACTGTGTCATTATTATTATTTTCCAAACTTTTTATAGTAATTTATCATCTGCTAACTGTCCCTGTTTTCATCAACAGTACAGGACAGTGCAGTCTGTGTTTCATTCAAAATAAATGACTGTTTTTCTTTCATACACATATATGCGGTTATAATGTTTGTTTAATTTAGAGAACTTCTTTAAGGAATTGTGTCCTGCAGTGCAGTTTATGTTTTAGGATTTAAGTGATATTTACAATGTATTACTTCTGGTGAATAAATATGTTTTTGTTCGTCTACATGATTTCTGAAAAAAGATGTAAAACATAAAAAAAGACAGCAAAAATAAAAGCAAATGAGAGGTTCGATGTGTGTTTTCTGCACTCCGAGTGGATTCGGCAGACAACAGTAATTCCTCCCACTGTGAGAGACATATTGGATGAAAGTAGACAGAAATGTCTAAGTTTTGATGTGAGAACTGCTGTAAAGCCAAAGCTGCAGACGTGAAAGTTTTCTCAGTACTTTCTGGAGTCAACAAATAAAATTTACCTGGAATTTTTAGGCACATTTGCATAAAATGTGTATAATTTCAATGTCTTAACAAAAAACATTAATTGAGACTGGTAATACATTTTGTTGACAATGCAGAACAACGCTCTTCTGAAGACACATAATAATCCAGATGTTTACAATGTCCTTTAACTGGGAAGAAAATTTTGCTTTTTTTCTTTTGAACAACATGCAGCAAAAGAAAAACAACTTGATTTAAAAAAGTAACAGACATGGATCTAGTTTCTGAGATGAAACAATGTTCCAGTTTAAATGAGTGCCTCATGGTTCTTTCCACACTTTCCAGCATTTACAGTAAATACTGCACTGCATTACTGTTGTCTAAACAGCGGCTCACTTGTCGGGCCCTTGTGACTGTCTGTCTGTCTGCAAGGAAACTGTAAAAACGTGAAAGAGGCTGTGGGATTGCTTCAATTTGTTCTGAGGAGGAAGTTTTGTCACAAGTGGCTTCTGCTGAGTGTTTCGTTGACGTCAGAGGATTAAATTCACAATCTGCTGGAAACCATATGAAGTGTTTTGTTTTTGTTTCAGTTTAAACGCTGAAGTTTAAACGCACTGTTTTGTTACCACACTTTTCATCTATCGATTCATCCTTCTGTATGTTCACCATGCAAATGTCCATTTGGTCATCTATCCATCTCTTCATACGTTCATCATAGAGTCCAGAAAGATCTTTTTGTTTGATGAATTTTATTATTAATAATGATACTGTATAGTTATAATGATTTATTCACCATTTTCTATTTCTGCCTACCTTCATTCTTTTTATTAATGTTTTGATGATGATGATTATCAGCTATTTTGTTTTTTTTTAATATTATTTTAATTTTCTTTAATTTTTTAATATGCATTTGTTTAAATTTCTGCCAAGAAAATACTCTTTTTTTTTTCTACTTACAATGGCTGTAATATGCCATCGTATTGGTTTTATGTCATACGATGTATTTTTCTGTCATTTTATTTACTGATATAGTAATAAACGAATATAAAGTCATACTGACCAGAACTTATGCTGCTTTCCAGTTGTAATTAGTTTATCCAACTTCCTAGTCGGATAAATCAGTTGAAAGTCAGATTTCTGTAAATTAGGAGTAACTCCAACTGCTGCCCAGTTAAAACTGTTTAAGAGTGACTTTGTGATTCAATATGGCTGCTCCTCGAATCAATAGCAGTGAGCTGTGGTGGAAACTTTTATTTTACAACACACACATGCAAGAGTGTCAATATTATATGTAGCGCCTGCAACTACAACCTGAACAAATTAAAAGTGGTGTTTGCTAATGGAAAGTAAAGCTTAAAATAATGTTTGTAAGAACTACTGCAAATAATGTCGATAGGTGTTGCCATGTTGGGATCCTGACTTTTTAACTGGAACTCTGTTGTCTTGGATCTGCTTTCCAGTTCCACTCAGAACTTGAAAATTCTGACTTCCCAGTCGGGAAGAATCAACTGGAATGCCCTCTGAAGTTGGATTTCCAGTTGGGAAACTGGAAGAAACTCTGACTATCACTAGTATTATGGTGGACTTCTTCAATATGGCAACTCCTTGCGTCTGTGATGGAAACATGCTACGTGTAATACCTGCAATTCTAAAAGATTTAAATGGCGTTTGCTTACTGAACGTAAAGCCTAAAACTATGTTTGCATGATGTACTGCAAACAATGTCTATGGGCGTTGCCATGTTGGAGGCCTGACTTTTAACTGCAACCCTGTAACCTCGGGTCACAGCATGAGATCTAATAGAATGGATCTATCATCTTATTATAAAGTAGGACAAAAAAATTCTGATGTACTTTAATCTCAAAATTTAATTTGTTTTTCTCAGAATTGTGATTCTGCGTTAATTTATGTTAAAATCCAAATACATATCCAAGCATTCTTAGGCCCATGTCAATTATGTAAGCATATAAAAATAATTGCATAATTCCTGCTGTAGGATTTTAAACCTCCATTTCAGCCACAATGAAAGCTTGCCCCAAATTTATTTAATAAATTTGAATTTTATATCTAATATATCTAAAGTTTCAACCGCTTTTGGGCCAGCGCCCCCGTCCATTATCCAGGTCGCTAATCGCCCCTCATCAAAGAAGATGTGGGGTATCTGCACCAACTATTTTATTTTATGATTAATTTTACCAGCATTATAGTTGCCATCTTGATTTGTATTGTTTCTGTTTTTGTCATCAAAAATCTGTAAAAATTAACACGTCACTGAATTAATAGTTTCCAAAGAACAAAAATAAACATATAAATAGAAATAATTTTTTAAATGACATCAACTTAAAATCAGTAGGTCTATCATCAGCCAATCAAAGTGGAAAAAAGATCTTGTTCTATTCCATTTTCTGATGTTCGTTGTTAAATCTTGTACAAAATGGCCAGACAAGTCGCACAGCAATACCAGTTTAAACTGTGAACCTTTGCAAACTGATTGTGCTCTGCAACATTAAAACATGGGTGGAACTGCAACGGAAACATGGATGGTATTTTTCAATAGTATTGGTGCAAAAAGAAATCTCTACTCCAGGATGTCAACGCTTGCCACCACGGAGCAGATTTATCGGTCCAGAGCCCGGGGCAGCTGGAATCGCCAGCCGTCTGTTCTGGTCCCACCTCAGGCATTCAGTGCGGCTGTGTCACAACTACCAACACAACCACAGTGGCTGACTTGACAATTTGTGAGTGGGATGCCATCCCACAACAGTGCATGACCAGTATGAGAGGGTTGTGACAGGGTGTTTATGGTTCTCCCTACTTTTCAAATGAACAACCAAAATGTCTTTAAGTTTAAATAAAATCATTTACACCTGCCTATTCTTTGGAGTAGAATACATCATGGACTGGTTGCCAGTCCATTTCAGGCTGCTATCAAAACCAGTTCACCTGAGAATCAGAACCATTTATGAAAGTGGCACTAATTGAAAAAAATTGCCTGCTGTATGAACATAGCTTAACTGTTAAGTCCCGTGTTATTTACCTTTTTGCTGACTTGATTCTATGACTTTAGCTTGTTTTGTATCTGAATTTTCCCACTGTGGTCCAATAGAGTAGATTTCTATTCTAGTCCATTGTTGTATCTTTTCTCTATCTTTTTTATCCAACCTTTTAATCTGCTGACACGCACACGCCACAGCTCACACAACCATGTTTCTGTATGACTGACGCCAGGCATTCATAAACAGACTGAAACTGATTAGACAACCCTTGGAGGGCACAGAATGCAGAAAAGAATAAAAAGTTAAACATGTGCTACAGTCTTTGCCTCACATGGTTTCATCCATAATGTGAGCTCAGTGAGGCCCAGCGCTGGACGGTGAATATCACGCTGTATCTGTTCCCACTGTACGACTGTAACACATTTGATCATTTTGTCATTAATTCCTGTTAAACTTAACAAACTCTCATCATTTGTCAAAAGGAGAAACTTCAGAGCTTCCTGGTCGGGACTCGGAACTGGTAAAAACGGTGCTGGTTGTTGCACAAAGAGCAAAACAGTTTACCCACAACTCTATAAATGCAGAGTTGTTTGGTAGTGAAGTTAGGAGATTAAACAGTTCAAGCAGCATGCTTCTTCAATCAACTCCTTTAAACTGGTTGTTTAACTGCCATCAGTCACATGACTGGGTTGGATGGATTAAACCTCTCGCTTTAATTAAAACCCATTTACACTCTATAATCCTGTTTCCTTAATCACTTGTCTAGACATACACCGACAGAAAAACTGAGTGTCTGTTGATCTGAGAGGTGATTCAAGTGAACATACAAAACATGTTTCTAATGTGTTGTATTTAAGGTCTTGCAGGGCATGTAAGTGGTAGCATGAGCTAACAGAAATGATGAAGACATTTAAAAGAGGTCTACCAAAGTCCCTCCGAATCTAACCAGCTTAGATCTTGATAATATATACGCTTAGACAATATCATAAGGTCTGAGGTGGAGGTGCTCTTCATGTTCACTAAGTAGTGAACTATATAATAGTAGGAGATCGGAGGCAGCTGGTCCACTTTGTCTGACATGTTTCTGTTTTTTGACTAGATTTAGTTTGTGTTGGTTTCAGAGTCATGGTTCTCTGGGCTTTGTGCTGCGCTTGCCTACAAAGATGGCGCGAATCACTGCCAGTTGAGACTTGAGGGGCATCACTAGCATGTTGACAGACATGGAGTTAATCAGTTTAGTATACAGGAGGTTTTATATTGAAATATGCTGAAATGCTAATATTAACATTGGCTCACTTATTATATCAAATGATGAAATATTGCTGTTTTTTTAAGTGTCCCCATGAGAAAAGACTCACTCCACCAGACTCCGTGGTAAATTTGGTCTAGAACAGCCTCCAGACCCAAGTCCTGATTTGTATAAATATTTTAATAATAATGTTTTCAGTACCAGAACTTTCACACAACTGATATTTTTGAGCCCTGTCTGAGGACACATTTTGATTATTAGGTGTTATTATGATCAGTACTTGAGTATTTTAACAAATACATTTTGCTTAATTAAATGTGTTCAAGCTATGCTACTCTGAATGGAGGAATATTTACTCTGTATGTTGGGTTGCTCTATGGCAGTGGTTCCCAAAGATTTACAATAACCCCCCCCCCAAAAAATCAACTGGGCACACATCGTTCAAACAGACATAAACCTTCACACATATTTTGTTTTCAAACTCCACTGAAGTTTATTTCACACTTCAGGTTGTAACAAAACAAACAACAAACCATCTTTACAGTGAAACACTTTCGTGTAATATATATCTTTTTCATTCATCCATACAATTTCTTGCGCCGCCCCACACTTTGGGAACCACTACTCTGTGGATCACTTTTTAAAAACAAAAAACACTGCCATAAAATATTGTGCATCACTGCAGCGGCCGTCCCACCACATGAGAGCAGAGCAACCTAACCCTAACCCTAACCCTAACCCTAATCCTAACGTCCCTTTAATTTCTGAAAACCCCACCCATATGACTGCTGTCATATCGGTGGATAACAAAGCAGTATGTTTAGCAGGTGATGTTCATGTGAACAAAAACAAAAACACTTTCAGCACTTTGTGAATTTCCTCACAAACAGGCTGTTTAGACAACAGTGATGCAGTCCAGAACATTTACTGTAAATACTGGACTGAGTGGAAAGAGCCACTAGTGCTGCTTCCTACCGCTATTGTTTTCTTACACAAATTTATTTCCGTTCCTTTAATTAAACCTTATTTTAACAATGTTAAAACTAGTTTTAACATTTCTTGACTGAATGTTGTTCAAAAGATTTAAACAAGATTTCCTTCTCAGTCAAATACTCGAAACATCTCCGCTGTAGGACAACGTCAATCTGCTTCGATTCATGATTCCAAACTCGTTTTCCGCCTCCAGGGACTGATTTCCTCCGGAGGAGCGAGTTCTGGGAGCCTCCAGGAAATACAGCAAGTTTTATCCACATTTAAACACTTTGAATGAACATCTGTTTCCTGGTAAACACATTTATTATCCAGATATTTGGGGAATCCATCAATGTCTTTCAAATATGCCTCACATCTCCAGATACCTTTGAGGCAGGAGCCTTTTCTCTCCAGAAAGAATGAAATCCTGATAGAATAAACAGGCTTCAAATCACAAAACTGGCCTAAATCAGCAGCTCAAGTAAGAAAGAATATAGATTTGAAATCAAAAAAGCTTCATACTCAATAAATAAAATGATACGTTATTTAAAATCAGGCTTGGCTGAATTCCTATTCTGGAAAATATTCATGGTTTTTTTCCTTCAAACCACTTTTACATCTACAACTTTGTCTCCACATTTACAGTTTATTTATTGAAACATAGATATTTCTTTCTACCTTCATCCAGTGCATCTCTCACTGTTATAGGAATTACAATTTTCTGTCAAATTCCCCCAGAACACAGAACTCGCATTAAACCACTCATTTAGTGCTGTCTTTTTCATTTTTCATGTCTTCTTTTTAAAACCTTGTAGATGTATAAAAATGTACAAGTTTATCCACCAGAGGGTTCTGATATTCATGGACCATGACTGATTTTGACACCACATAGTTTTAATGCAGTAGCCTTTTGTTTGAGGGTTAAATTTGGCCTCCACTTCTCTCTGCGAGAGGCGGGAAATCGGGCAACCAGCGACTCGGCGTTCTCTGATTCTCTGGGTTTTGGATTGAAGTTGCATTAAAAGCATCACTTTAAAAGATTTTGCATAAAAATAAAAGCACCACAACCTTTAAATCTCCATCCCACAACTTTAACAAGCCTCAGCCAGAACAAATTAAATAAGTGTTAACATTTAGTTTGAAAGTGTTTACCATCTAAAATGTGGATCATTTTAGGAATATCACTTAAATACTAAAGAATTACCTGTGCTGCAAGTGAAAGTACCTTAAAAATCTCCTCTAAATTAAGTATCATAATTTTTTTAGATATTAGTGTTCAATCTCTCCCCGACCCATCAGTGAATATAAAACAATGAGGAATGATCTGTAAAAGAACAAAAAGATAAAGTCCCAAGTTAAATAGAAAATATTTTAAAATTCCTAAAAAAACAAACAAACCGAAAAACAAACCTTCACCATAAAAACTTGGTTTGATGAGTTTTAGTCTCGTCAAGTCAAACGATAAAAATCCACGATCCCCAACGCAGTTTTCTGCGACGCTCCGACCCCGGTCAGGAGGTAGGGGGCAGCAGTGAGCCGTGTGCGGCCAGGAATCACAACCTGATGGGGAACATGCCCTGGGTCAGCTGGAGGCGGAACAGGCGACAGTTGGCGATGCGCAGGGCGGCGCAGGCCGTTTTGGAGAGGTCGCTGGGTAACATGGGCTTGGTGCGGAACCACGTCCCGGTGCTGCGCCGAAACTCCCGGATGTAGTCGAAGCTCGTCCCTACGCACAACACAATGAAAGACAAGCTGTGGGTCAGCGAAGCGAGCGACCTGGAAAGCACCGCCTGCGGTTCTTTTTACCGACCCGTGTCCAGGTCTCCCACCACGTAGATGCTGGCCCCGATCGGAACCGCCCCGTAGACGAAGGAGGAGCTGGCCGGGATGCACAGGTTCTGGTCGTCCAGGAACATCCACCTGGACCAAAGCGTTCAGAAAACACGTCAACTTTTCACGCTCAGAACGTAACCCAGTTAGCAGAGTCGGGTAGTAACTAGTTTCAGTTCCTCAATCACAAAAAGTTCAACAGCTTTTCAGAAAAATAAAGAAATAAAAAATACATTTTTACTACACTGTACTTTTTACTTTTACTTGAGTAATTTTATCATGAATTGCTACTCGTATTTGAGAAAGTTTTTGTTAAAACTTCCTACGTTTTTTTTTATTGAAAGAAAATGATTTGGAAAAAATTTCTTTTGCCTTAAAACAACTTACAGTTATATTAAAACCATTTATCCCCGTCTTCGGAGGCTATGCTAACTAGCCTTAGCATTCATGACAAGGCTGGCAGTCGCATAGCAGAGAGCTACTGTGTGGGCACAATGAGCAGCTTGTTCACAACACTGATTGACAGCATTAAGACCCGCCTCCTAGCTGTGATTTGTTGTTTCTAGATAGCACTAGGAGACAGAGGATCTCGATCTATTCAGATTATCTGTGTCGTTTAAAACTGTCTCAACAACGTGACAATTTTATTTAAAAATTAAATTGTTACAAAAGTCACATACTACTGCTCTAATAACTGAAAATGATTTCATCACTGCCTCAGACGCCTCGCTGTTACTTATTGTATTTTTTCAGTTCCAGCGTAAAAGGGGGAAAATTTGACAAAACATTTTTACCTCCTGTTCAATAATAACTGACATTTCAAATCAAGCTTTTAGAACTGGACCTTCTCATCTCGTCGTGGTAGAACTCAGACTTGCAGGTCATCATCTGTCTTTGCTCGGGATTTTCGCTCTCTTGGCTTCTGACTCCGCCGAACACGTAGAGCTCCTGACCGACGCCGCAGGCCACCGAACCGAACCTGAGCGGGACGAAGTGCGTCAACAAACAGAGACAGATTATTAAAAGATTTAGTTACCTATGTCTTCAAGATCAGAAGTTTACATCCATTTCCTCAGGATTTGGTACCGTTTTGCCTCCAAACTGGATGCTGAGCTTTAATTTTCTGCTTGACTTTGTTTAAGACAGAAGATACGTTCGAGTTCATGCCAACATTTTCATTTGAATTCAATTTTGTCCCATTTTTCAAAGATGGCTGACCGTACATTTCCCTTTCACTAAGCAAAAAAAACACAACATAGATTGGCCGATAAATCTAATCAATCAAATTTTGGGCTTTTAAAGATTTAATTTTTGGAAAATGTGGGGTTTTTTTCATCAATGGACTCTTTGGGTTTCCGTAGTTCGGAGTGATGTCAGCGCGCACAGGGCCGCCATCTTGTTTACTTGGACTTCAAATTCAAGTCAACTCTTAGGACAAAATATCGCGACGAGGCAACAGTTTTAATTTTGAGAATAGAGTCAAATTAATACGAGGATAAACCGTTAAGATTACCAGAATAAAGTTGTAAAATTAGAAGAAAAACTAGTTTTATTGAGAAATTAAACACAAGAAATACCCCCAAATTAAAATTCTGTAATGTTGAACATTTTGTGAAGTTATACTTTGTTATAAATTTTACAAATAAAAATAACTAATACACAAAATAATCAAATTATTATTGTTATCAGGAGTTGAAAAGGACAGTGCAAACAATCAAGTCTATTTAGAAGAAAACCACATGAACTGAGCTGGTCTACATCAGATCTTTATGACTGATTAAATAGTCTTTTCTCGTAATTTTAAGATGTTGTTCAGGTAAAATAGTGCCTTTATTCTGCTAATATTAAGTCTATATTCTTGTAATTAAAGCTTCTAATAGCATGGCTTTAATACTTTGTCACACAACTTACAAAGGAGATATTGAAATAAAATTGAAAATATTTTCTGTCATTTATAATCTCTTATTTGTTGTTGAAATCCAAACACCTGACACTTGTGACATGACTTGTCTTGACCCAACAGTCACGTACAGTCACCACATCCTGCACTTCCTGTTTAGTTTCTGTTTCTCTCAACTCAGAGAATTCAATCAAAGCTGAATGTGAGTTGGAATAAAATTTCATAATTCACGAGGTTGAATATTTCTGACTACAAAAGTTAGAGAAACTAAACCGATTTGAGTCATTTTAGTTGAACAACCCAGATCAGTGTGAAACTTCAAAACAAAGGTTTTGAAGTTTCACAACACATGTTTTTAAGTTTCACAAAACATGTGTTGTGAAACTTCAAAACACATTAAAAATATCTCAATAATTTTTATTTGCATGATTCATTGTTTCTTTCTTTTCTTTTTCCCTCCTACAAAAATCTGGATGACAAAAGCCTTCAGTCTGTTTACAGAAACTTCATGATTCATTTAGTTTGTTGTTTCTGTTTTGTTTGTTTATTTTGGATATTTAAAATGTTTAAGTGTTAAATGTAGATTACAATTTACACTTTATTGATCTTTGAGAATGTTTTCTTACATTTTTTGCCATTACCATTATATTACTTCAAAATGGTCTCAAAAAACAATCCTATTGTTCATCACAATAATTTTCTGGTCCAGAAACATTTGTTACTATTGCCTACTTCAAGAAACCATAAAAACATTTCTACATGTGATATTTAAAAGTTGAAATGATGAGTTTCTGATCTGATGAGTGACTAAAAACAAGATCTTAAAGTTCAGCCTCACGAATGAGTGCAGTTGAAAAGTAAAGGAGTGTGTGAATCAGGTTATGGAGGAAACGTAAAAACCACAGATATGAGCTGGGATGTGGTTATTCAAAGAAACCCCTCAAAAAAACAACCTGCTGCGGCTTGAATAGGTAAGAATTGGATGATGATGATTGAAACCCAAAAACTCTGGTTCAGTTGCTGGTTTGCATCAACGCCACGGCAGATGAGAAGAAGAAGAAGAGTTTCCCAGGCTGAGTGCAGCGTGACTCGACAGTGGCAGCATCGTGTGTCAGCGTGGATGTGGCGCGGCGCTGCTCAAGCTAACGCTAATCTATCCAGAATTGCAACAGAAGCTTCCTTTCATTTCCTGTTGAGCAACTTGTGCTTGCGCGCGGCGTCGCGGCCGGCGGTCACCTGACGGGGTCACGCTTACCGTCTCTCCTTCAGAGGACACAGGCCCGTCCACTGCTGGGTTTTTGGGTCAAAGCTTTCCACAGAGTCAAAGAGTTTCCCGTAGGAGCCGCCGCCGATGGCGTAGATCTTCTTATTCATCGAGGCGTAGCATCCCACCTAACGGCAAAAAATTTAATCTGTGTTTTTTTTTATTTACTTAGCTGCAGCATACACTCTGAAAACACCAAACACAAAAACAGCAGTGGTGGCCTGCGTCTGCTAAAAGCAGAAGTAATGGTTTTGTTTGACTAACTTTGAAAGCATTTAGCACACTTAGCTTCCCCTAAGAAGCAGCATTGAGCATTTATGCTCCACAAATCTGTAGCAAACTTCCAGAAAACTGCAAAATAGCTGAAACACTGAGTGCCTTTAAACCTAGACTAAAACTCACCCCTTCAGATTTTCTTTTGAATCGTAGTAAATGAAACCAACATTAACCAACGATAACCAACATTTTTTATGTGTGTTGATGCAGATGTTGCTTGTGCATCATATTTATGGACGTACTGGAAACACAATAACAAAAAGGTTCCATGGCAGAACTTTTGTATATTTGTATAAAAACTAGAAATGAACTGTGTTAATGTTTTTAATATATTAAAATCTATGTACTTAATCGAAATTAAGGCATTAAAATCCCTACATAAATTATTGACTCAGAGTTGTTTAAATAATTCTTGCTGGCACAAGGTAAAGCTAAATATTTTTTTAAAATAATAAAATCTGGCATTTTTCACTTCACAACAGCAAACTAAAATGAAATTAAAATGAAATTAAATTTAGTCCTAAAGTCTAGTTCTCCTTTTAGTGGCTCAGAAATAAACAAAGTCACAGGAAAATGTTACAACATCATGTAGGTCATAGTTTTATCAAGTAAGGCTGTAAAGCTCAGCAGCAGTCTGTGGTGCTGGTTCACATGATCTCCTAACATGAAGTCGTTCTGTCACAATAATTATCTTTTATTTCAAAGAAACAGAAAAGAAACGTCACTAAGAGGAGCTTCAGCCGGAACAAGTTCAGAGAACAAAAGTAAAAGAAACTGATATAAAAGCAAAATAAAAATATGATAAGATACCGCCACACATACGCTGACTGGGCCCTGAGACCGTCCTGCTGTTTCTGACAGACGATGCAAGAATAAGAAATTACACACTCAACCAGAAATTACGGAAAAAAAAGTCAATGAGTCACATTGTAGCTTTACGTTTGAGCGGGATTTTTTGTTTTTAAATCAGTGACTGTGGAACATTTTTCTGTAATCAGTAATGTCTATAAATAGTTTATTTTTATTTAGGAAGTATTAAATACTTGATAACATAAGTAATGTTTTCTTTTTGAGGAACTCTTCGAAGGTGTTACAGCGCCCCCTGCAGGTCACAGAGGAGAACTTTCACATAACTGCTCATGCTCACCATCAAAAAATCATAATATATATGTATATTTATATATATATTGATACATATATTATAATATATATTTAGTGTCATATGTTTATTATTTATTTAAATGTTTTTATTGTGTGTAAGTTTATTTTAAATTATTAAAAGTTTATAAACTGTAAATAATTCAACCTTGTTTTTCGGTTTTGCTTTTACATATTCATACTTAAAATTGAGAACAAGCTGGAACCAAAGTCAAATTCCTGGTTTGTGTGCAGAAAACTTCAACAAAGCTGATATTTAAATTCTGTTCAACAAATTATCTTTGGTAATTTAATCTAATTATATGTATGAACATGTTACCTTTACATCTAATTCACAATGAATAACAATATTAAAGAATCAAGGTTTTGCAATGGTCCTGATCTTATTTTATGTTGATGTGTAAAATTTATAGTCACTGAATCTCAAAGAACTGAATCAACGTTGGAAAGAAGAGAAGTTCTCCTCGATTACCTTCCGCATCATCGTCATGCTCGTCTGCATCTTCCAGGTGCTGAAATGTGGGTCAAAAACCTCCACCGCGGTCAGCGCCAGGTCTTCGGTTTCTCCTCCCAGCACGTAGATCAGCCCGTCCACCTCCACCACGCCGAAGTTCTGACGAGGCTGCAAGCATCAGACAGGACACAGATATTATTAAAACCGGTATTTGTGTGCAAAAACTGACAAGGTGCTTAAAACTGGGAAAGCTGTGACTCCCATCATAACCAAATCAGAAAGAAAAAGGTGCTAAAGTCAGTAAAAATCAGTGCAAACACTGCAAAAACAGATTCTTACAAAGTATTTATGTCCAGCAAACATCTTAAGACAAAACTAACATAAAAGTAAATTTTCAACAAGTCATAGAAACTTGTCTTAGGTAAATAATTCATTAATATTGATTTAAAAGTGACAAGTTTTACAAGCAGATTTCTTCCTCTAAAACGAGGGAAATTGTTTTGCTGTGAGAAAATCTTCAAGCAGAACTAGTCCTTTGTAATCAACATTTATAAATGATTTCAATGCAAAGTTGACAATTTAATGCAACATTTAATGCAAAGTTGCATTAAAAACCCATTAAGTGTGCTGACTTGGCATTAAAAATGTCATTATTTACTTAGTGACACTTCATGACAACAGTCATAAACATGTCTGAAGACTCCATGCTCATGACAGATTGATATGAATCTTAAACACACCCCTTCAAAAAAAGTGCAACCAAAAACTCCTATATTCTGCTGCCTTTTCACTTGCAAACTAGTTTGTCTTACTAAGATAATTGCACCAGAAACTAGGCAAAAATAAACGTTTGCTGCTTTTTATTGCGATTTCACTTTAAAAGCAATAATGACACCTTGTGGTCAAAAGGTGCAGAAACAAGCCATTTGGATGTCTATGGAAGTTGACAACAATCAATAATCTCTCAGATTAGCAGCTGTCGGTACCTGCAGCATCGGGGGGATGGGGCTCCAGGAGTTGGAGTCCGGGTCGTATTTCTCTCCAGTGTCCAGGATCGTGCCGTTTTCATCTGTTCCCCCCATCACAAACAGGAAGCCCTCTGACACACAGGAAACAGCCACGTCAACCACCCACCTGCTGCTCTGCTCAAAGGATGCAAGTTATCGATTAATCAATTTGTCTAATTTAATCGAAAGACGGTTAATTGATAAGCAGAGTTTTGTCTTGTGTTAAGAGAACCGACAGTATTTCCATAACATGACGGGTTCCATTTTAGCAATATGCTGAAATACAATATATATATATATATATATATATATATATATATATATATATATATATATATATATATATATATATATACACACACACACACACAATGTGACAGGAAAAGAAAAACATATCACCACCTCCCTAAAATAATAAAACAATTTTTTGCCTGAAACATCTTTTGGAAAAAAAGATGTGGTGATTCTTTATTTTAGGAGGTGACTATATTTGAAACACATGAACAGACATATTCAGAGAACTTTTGTGCTCCTGAAGAAATGTTAAAAATTCATGAAGTGTTTTAACTCACAAAAGAAAAATCAACATTGCTAATTGGCAACATGTTATTTTTCCATTTTAAAACAGAACCGAATAAAGTGCATTTTTCATCAGACGACCGATTCTGTTTTGACTGTTCCGCCATCTTTGTTTCTGTATCAAAGGCTCTGCAGAAGGAGAACCAGTGGCGCCCCCTGCTGGATGGCGGACAAACTACAACACTAAAAGAAGGTCTGGCAGACATTATTATTTTTAGTTAATCCATCGAAACTGATTTTAATTTTAAAAAGTATTAATTGCAAGTCTTTCTATTCAGAACAGATTCCGAAGGAGCACTAACCTGCGGCGACCACGCCGTGGCCCAGACGGGCCAAGCTCATCGGCTGCAGCTCGATCCACTTCTGCCTGTTGGCGTCGTACAGTGGGCACATGCAGCGCGTCACGGCGGTGGGCTTCCTGGTTCTGTTCGGGGTGAAACAGTCGATCAGACGGAGATCCCTGACTGCATCACATCTGAAATACACCTCTCATAATTCTGTTCAAAAGTAACATTCCTCAAATGTTCTTCAAATGTTCCACAAAAACAATAAAAACACACAAACAACCAAAATCATTAATGAAATAGATCATAATAACTGTCAGCAAAATTGCTCTTGAAAAAATATTAATCTGAAAGAAAATTAATGGGATAATTTTAATTTCCAATCATTAAGACAGGCTGAGTGAGGAGCCAAACAGCTCCCAACGTGTTTCTGTGTAGTTCTGCAGTACGTTGTGATCCAACTTGAAGATTTCTACCTTCGATCTTCTCCCCCTACAAGGACGATGCATTCAGAGTAACCTCGGGGTTTGAAGGCGGTCAGCATCGCCTCGCCCTGCGGCGGATCCTCCGTCAGAACCTTCTGGCAGAACTCCCTGATCACCTCCCTCATCAGCGGCTCTGCCATGGACTGATCACATGACACAAAGTAAACATCTAAAACACAAAAACTAATTTAACTTCATCGCTTTATGTGAAAATAATCACCAGGAAACTATGGCTGCAGTTCAGTGTCTGCTGGAGGTGATGGAGTTTATATTCTTTATTTATATTCTTAGAACATTAATTAACCTTCAGATTATTGAGGATTAGAAACTTGAAATGGCACATAAGAATCTACAGATACTAATGTGCAAAATGCTGTTTGCAGCAGCACCTGTTCTCTCAGGTAGCTCTGGTCCAAGCCCTGCATCCACAGGGCCGACATCACTTCCTTCATATGGACCTGAAGACACAGAAACAAAAAACTGAAGGAAAACAACCAGACCCGTCACAATAAATCAATTAATTATGGGATTAATTTATTATTTAGTGTCTCTTTTCTCTCTTTCTACCAAAAATTGAATGTTAAAAGTCTTCAGTCTGATACTTTGGTCTCAACTAGGCTCTTTTTTGGGGACAATTTTGTTTACAGACACTACATGATTCATTTTATTTGTTGTTTTATTTATTTATTTTGCCAGGTCATGCCTGCACATTTGCAGTTGGCAATCATCGGCCCACTGTTACTAACTCAGCGTCTTTCTTGTTATATTTAGCAAAATTTCAGAGAAAAAAATTGGAATTGGCATGGCAGGCTTTTCAAAGATCGATAATTGGTGATTGGCCAGAACCTTGCAATCGGTGCACCCCTACTCAAAACGGCATTATCATCGTTTATCACATTAATATCCAGCAAAATTTATCATCAGCTGGAAATCAGCCATGGAGAACGTGAAGCTTCCTCACCCTGCGGTCGTCCGGGTCATGGGCGAACCATCGCACAGCGGCCTCCAGCACGTGCTTCTCGTTGCCCACGTTGAGCTTCTCCATGCTCAGCAGTTCGCACAGCCGGCTGTGGGGAAGTTCCCTGAACTCCTCGGTGAGCACCACGTCACGAAAATGCGTCTGCAGGAAGTCCGTGGCGACGTAGTGGACGTGCTGCAGGCAGTAATGCAGCGAGAAGAGGCGAATGCCGATGCAGTTCTCTGCCGTGATGCAGCTCTCCAGGAACTGGCAGCAGAGCAGCTTCAGGTCGGTCATGAGCAGCAGGTCGGAAGCCTGCACCATGTCCTGGACGGTGTCCTCGCTCAGGGTGATCTGGGAATACGAAACAAATCCAACAGCTGTACTGCTGTTTCATGATTCTGCTTTACAGAGAATAAAACTGTTAAAATTCAGCTTCTCTGAAAAATTCTAACATCGTACATCATTAGAGCAGCAACTAACAGTTATTTCAGTGATCGATAAATTGATTATTCTGATGATTAATCAAATAAAAAATGCCACTAAATCAATAGATTTATCAGATAGTAAAATGACAGTCCAAAGTCTTTTTTTAAGTTTTGGATCTTTAGTAATTTATAGATTTTATAAAAATCTGTCTGTTACCGTAAAGTCATAGTAAATAAATTTTTGCATTTTAAATTTTATATATTTTGTGACCTGCTAGTAGTTTAAATGTCAGTTTTGTCCCCAGGAGCAACAACTTTGGACATGACGGGAGCATCACAAAAACATCTTTGCACTAATTTTTCCCATCTTTCTGACCTTAATATCTTGTTGTTGTTGTTGTTTTTTTTGTTTTGTTTTTTCACATAATCATGTATAGATTAAACAGATGAGAGAAGACGATGCATTTTAAGATGAAAAGCTGGGAATCACCTCCCCACTGAAGATGTAGTCCAGGATCTGTTTCATGATGGCCATGGGGACTCCCTGCAGTTCAATTCTGTAGGTTGATCCATCTTCTTTAGGAGGATTGTAGTTCAATTTGGTCCTAAAACAAAATTATTCACAGCAGAATATGCCACAACATGAAATAAAAGCTGCCTGGAATCACTCCCAGCTAAAGAAAGTGAACACACCCATCATGCCACAAACACAACAAATGACCGACCAGCTGTGTGCAGGAGGAGGGTCTGACCTGATGTAAGGGCTGGCTGCAGCCAGGATGTTTTTCTGCACTGGGAGCTCCTCTCCATCCACCACAAGGAGCGCATCGTGGAAGCTTTGCTCCTGCCAGAAGGTCCGAAGAACTCTCAGGAGCTTCTGGGAGTGCTGCGGATCCGAAACCGTCAAACCGGGATCACCGGATGTGGCGTTCGGCATGTCTGGACTTGGGACAGATCTCCTTCTGTCAAGAGAAGCGTGCACACGTGTTTCATAAGCGTTTTCTAATTAATGCTGTTAGTATGTTTATCTATTACCAAGCCGAATACTTTGTACAAGCACCACTATTAAAAATAACAAAGATGTATTTTCTATAAGCAGCGCATTCAGGTGCTGCGAGCTGGAACTTATTAAAGTAACCAGTTTTCAAATCAAGTTTGGCAGGAAAAGCTACGCTAGCAGCAAAACAGTCTACAGTTTAGATGAACGGCTCCGACACGGGCTAAAACAACACGCTATAGTTTTCTATTAGAATATTTACTTGTTGTAAAGTCTTGCCTGATGTTTTCTTTGTGTTTTCGTATTTTTGGGCTCAGGGAGTGCCCCGGACTGCACTCAGAACACCATGAATCACTAAAAGGTTGGAAGGCGACGTTACAGGCATGTGTTACATGCTGCATTCAGGAACATAGGACAAAACTGGACGAGATGTACACCAGAATGTATAATTAGAACAATAATGAATGAAATGTGTATTTATCAGTACATATAAATACTCAACAAAACTACTCATTTACACTAATAATTGGTGAGAAATTTATGTGAAAAGGCGTCTACAAGTTCGCGTAATGCATTTGTCTTGGATTCTTGAACGTCTCCTGAAATGGGCGGAAAGAGTTCAGGTAAACGCGTCCCACCAATAAGCTTAATGCAAACTTTATGTATAAACAAATAAATAAATAAACAAATAAACAAATCAAAAAATGATACAAGAGCCGGCTGTCATTCGTGACTTTATTTCATTCATCCACTATTTAGAGAGGTATTTACAATGTTAAAGAAACTTGCAAGGAAAATAAAAGAAAAATGTTTCTGGCATCTTGTCAAATATCCAGACAAACATCGTCTTCTTTTGTGATCCTCTTCTAGCTCTGTCATATTTCCCAGCAGAAACTCCCTTCACAGTTTAGGTTTGAATACTTTTAGAGGTTTAAAACAAAATTTTGAATGAATAATTTAATTATACTGGGAATGTTTTTATTGTTGTTGTTCATAAATGCAGACTTTTAAAACTTAATCCAAATTTATGTAAATTGAGCCGTTTCTTCTTTGAACCAAAATCAAATGAATAAATTTTTCAACAACTTTGTAATCTGATTAATAACTTTTATTTGTTGTAAACCTCCATATTTGGGTCTGTGTCGCATTATTCTATATTATTTTAAATACGCGCAACTCAATCTGTGAAATCATAAACTTTGTATTAATATTGTTGCCTTGTTTTGTTTGTAAACTGATGTTTAAATGAAGCTTTTTAAAAAAGCAAGTTATTATGGAGGAACCTATTTTATGTACTTAAAGTTTCCTGTCGGAAGCTACTCACAGGCGCACACCGTCAAGCTAAAAACAAACTCCACAAATGCCCCCCTGGAGCAAACTGACCCCCTGGATAGAGAACCTGATCCTGAGCTACGGGAGCGGGGATGAGTCGGGCAGCCAGCTGAGGGCTCATGTCATCGGGGTGGGTCAGATGACCCAGTCCCAGGCTCGGGGTTCCGATGGCCCGACGGGGCTGCTATTCCTGTCCGACGGAGAGTTCAAGATCCCGGCCGTGCTCACCGCCTCCGGCTGGGAGCAGCTCCAGGAGAAGGAGGACCGGGAGTGCTTCAGCAGCCTCCTGAACACCACCGTGTGCCTGCAGGACTACCGGCTCCGGTTCCACATGGACCCGGAACAGACCAAGAGCCGGTTCTTCCTGTCAGTGGGAGAGCTGGCCACCACCGCGGCGGGTCCAGTTAAAGACAACACTCCCTGCTGCACCAGCTCGGCCTCGGTCCGGATGAAGATCTGCAGAACCTGGAGGTCCCTTCTTGGCCAGGAAGACTCTCAGCGAAGCCAGGCCGGACTGGAACTGTCCGAACTGCTAGGAGAGTGGCAGCACGACTGCCTGCAGACAGTGCTGCGGGACATCCGGGAGAGACTGCTGGCTATGAGGAACCCCCGACCCTCCACCTCTGCTCACACCCCGCCTCCGAACTGGACCAGGTGGGACCTGGACCGGGTCAGGTACAAGGGGGAGCCGAGCTTCACCGTCCCCGTGGAGCTGCTTCTCATGCCGGATGAGCGCAGGGAACGGGCTAGCTCTGGAGAGGACGTGGCGTGGCAGATAACCGATCCCGCAGGTCAGTAACGCACTCTATGGATTCATAGGGGCGCCAGGGTTAGAAGGGCGCCAAACAGCAAAATATCAAAAATATATTTTTGAATTTTAATAATTATTTCTTGTCAGCTTAAAAGTCATAATTCTGTGGCCCTAATCCTTTTATGTACGAGTATGAGAGCCATACTAATAAAAATAAAATATAAAAAATGAAAGGATAGTCAAAAGATTGCAAGAATAAACTCCTGAGAATAGTGATAATACTACCAGTATAAAGTTGAAATAAGAAAAAAGTCATATTATCACAAGTATAAAGTCATATTACCAGAACAAAGTCACTTTATTGTCATAATGTTATTACAACTTTATGTTTGTATTTATTACAAACATAAAGTTTGTAATAACTTTATGTTTGTAATAAACTTTATGTTTGTATTTATTTCTGTATTATTTTTAGCGTGTTCCTAATACCACTTCATAGTATCTGACAGCTGTTTCTGCATTCAAAATCCCCACTGGGTGCCATATTGTGACTGGATACCTGAGAAAGTACTTACCTCGTCCTTCCAGCAGGTGGCGATCCAGGACAGAATGAGGGAGACGCGGGGGTCTCGGGAGAAGCGGGGGACTTGGGAGAAGCGGGGGACTCGGGAGAAGCTGGGGTCTCGGGAGAAGCGGGGGACTCGGGAGAAGCGGGGGACTCGGGAGAAGCAGGGGACTCGGGAGAAGCAGGGGTCTCGGGAGAAGCGGGGGACTCGGGAGAAGCCGGGGACGCGGGTGACCATCCCCTTCCTTTGATGGAGGACATGGCTCCTTTCCCAGACCCCACCGCCCTGCTTTCCGCCAACCCCTGGGACATGTTCCCCTCTCTGGGAATCAGCCCTTGCACCTCCGAGTCGTCCCCGGAGTCCACCCCGAAACTGGACTCTGCTGCCGTGATAACCAGCACCCGACTTCCGGTTGCCAGCACCCAGCTTCCGGTTCCCAGCTTCCTCCCTCCGTACCAAAACCAACCCGCCGCCAGCTTCCCACCGAGCTCCTCATCAGTCACCGTGAGCCCACCAGAACCTCCTGTCTCAGACGGAACCGACACCGTTCCGGGAAGCTATCGGAAGCCCAAGAGGAAGCGATGCGAGGCGGAACAACAACAACAACAACAACAAGAGGAGGAGGAGGAAGTAAGTGGGAGTCCGCCATCTTGGCTCTTTGACTCCCAGATTGGATCTTCCAGAAGCGAGGACAGTCCAAAACAGACCGGACCCGCCCCGAAAAAGACCCCAGGCACTCACGGCGACGGCAGACCGTTCTCCTACAAATACAGAGTGTCGGGTCAGAACCTCCTGGACTTCAGCCGGTTCCGAGTGGCTGCGTCTCTGCTCCACTGGGCCCTGCGGTACCTGTTGCCTCCGAAACCAACAGAGGATCCGCACAGCGTCGAATTATTGGACTAAAGTACCGAACTCCTGCAGATTGGACTCGTCTGTCGTGTTTATTACCAAAAAAGCCCAACATTTCTTCTACATTTGGTTTCTTGTTTTGTATTTAGTGTCGTTTGTAAAATTACACACAAAAAATAAAAGCAAATTTTGATTTATTTCTAATGTCAGAGAAAAAAACTGGTTAATTTATTAAGTCATGTTTTCACCATTTTATTCATGTTTCTAAATGTCCAAATATTTACCTTCCAAACTAAACATTTATCTTTTAATGTAAATATTTAGTTTGGCAGGTGAATATTTAGTTCCCAAATAAAGTTTTAAGCTTCAGCTTAAAAATTAGCTTTCCAACTAAACATTTATCTTAAATATATTTAATATTTAAATATTCTGTTGGACAAAATATTTATTTTGGAAGTAAATTTTTGAATTACATATTTTGCAATAGTTTTAAAACTAAATATTTAATTCACCAACTACATATTTTACTCTTAATTTAAATATTTACATTGGCACTAAAAAGTTTGGAAGCTAAATATTGAGTTTTAAAATAAATATTTAGTCCAGAACAGAGTATTCAGTTTTGAAGCTTAATATTTGGTTCCCCACTAAGTTTGTTTTCTAACTTTTAGAAAACAAGTTAATTTTATAAATATTTAGATGCAGTTCTGTGTTTTCTCTGTACCAGGGAGTTTTAAAAAGTTCATGTTTATTAAAGAATAAAAGCAGCTTTTATTATTTCACGTTTTTACAGTCAGCGTCATATTTAAAAAAAAGTTTCCTAATTATTTTGCAATGATCTTTTGTAGATTAAGAGCATTATTACCTTACAGTAGGACACGAGGAGCAAAGGAGATAGAAAAGAAAGAAGGAAGCATAATAGGAAGCAATTAACTGAAATAAGAGAGAAAGGACACAAGGAGCAAGAGGCGAGGAAGGAAAGATAAGAAAATAGAGGTAGGATACAAGGGTGGAAAAAATGGTTAGGGGACAGAAAATAAGAGGAAAGGACACAAGGAGTGAAGGAGGTAAAGAGAAAAGCAAAGTTTATAAGGAAGGAATTAAGTTAGGAAAGAGCGGAAGGATACAAGGAGCAGCAGGCAAGGAAGGATGAGCAAGAAATAAAAGACTAATTTACTAATTCAGAAACCCAGAAAACAAAAATCATTTGAAAACTTTCCTGTTTTCATTTTTTGTGACAGAATCTGTGCAGAAAATTAAACCTTAAATCCTGAAATTAATTTTTAAAAAATCCAAGTGATTCTGATCAATAAATCAGTTTATTACAACATGACAGTTGCAGGGAGCGCTGTCGTACTGTCACACACTCTCACAAATCTGTCTGTAAACACAGAATATTTCAACATCTGAGACAGAAAGAAGTTTCCTCTGATGATAAAACACATCAAACGTAAAGTCCTACAGTGAGTCCTAAAGCGACCTCTCTTCTTCGCTCCACAGCTGTCAGTCTCTGTTCCCTCAGCCAATAGCACAGCCTGCAGTCGCTGTGGGTTCAGGGGGGGTCGGCTTAAACTGCATGAGATGTGATCGAGGGAAGGAGTCACATTTCAGAGAAAACATGAAATTATGCACAGATCAGGTAGAGATTTAGGGCTGAACTTTGTCTGGAGACAAAGAGAAACAGTTAAACTCACAGCTGGGAGAGGAACGGAGTGAACACACCTCTACAAGCTGCAGCAGGTAACTCAAGATTTCAACAAAATCTTTCACGTGCGGATACAAGAACCTAAACTGGCACAGATAATCCCAGCGGATTAATTCTTGGAGAAACGATAAACTATAGCCACCGAAAAATTAAAGATGGCTGCCACTTTCCAAGATGGTTAAGGAGAATTTGCACATATCTAAAAATGGCAGCCATCTTGAAAAATGTAGTATGGTCATCATGGAAAATTAATTTTTGCACTAAATTTGCAAATATTTAACACATTAGTCACTGAAAAATTCAAGCCGTTCATCAAGCAAAATTAGTTTTTGTACTAAAATTGCAAATATTTAACAGCCATTGTGGAAAATTCAAGATGGCTGTAATTTTTCAAAAATGTTTGCATTAAATCTGTAATAATCCATCCATTTGTCATTAAAAAAATTAAGATGGCTGCAATTTTTCAAGATGGTTGTCAAGTTTTCCCTGCCATTTTCCAGTCATTTTGAACAATTTTATATGGCTGCTGTTTTTTTAAGATAGTTATCAAGAAAAATTTATTTTTGCTCTAAATTTGCAAATATTACATAATGGTAGACATCTTGATAGTTCAAGATGGCTGCCATTTTTCTGCTGCAAGCAAATTTTAATGCTTGTATCCACATTTGAAGGATTTTTACAGTGACGTGCAGCTATGGAGCTGCAGCTGAACGCTTAGTGTTTCTGTGGGTGGGTGAGTGTGTGTCTATCTGTAGGCCCTGTTGTGCCGCGGATACGGCGACATGATTGCGTCCACGCTACCTTCGCTGTCCGAGCTGCTGTCGGAGTCGCTGCTGCCAGAGTACGCGCACAGCCCCGGTAAGACGCCGACGCACACGGCCGCCGGCGGCAGGTGCAGCATGCCGTGGGCGGCCGACGCCGGCGTCTTTGCTGTGAGGCCGGGGACGGCTCGGCGGTCCTCAACTTCCCTGCTTCCTCCGTCCTGCTCTGGACAGGAAAACATTCACAATCAGCACCGCCGTTTACTTCAAGAAGATCAAGAGAAACTGAGAAAGTGTGAAGAAAAAGTTTGATTTAGACACAAAATATCCACAATGTTTTGGTGAAAACGACACGCTCCTTCCTTCATCTGAGGTTTTTGGAGAACATTTGACCGTTTTTACAAGAGAACGATACGTAAACTAGTCTCCTTCCTTTCTCAGATCATCCTTCCTACTTCAAATCTGAGTCTTTTCTTCCGAATGGTTTCTTCTTCTGGATTATTGCTGCTAAAAACCAAAACATTTACTTTTCTGGTTCAGACCGATGCCCACCTGCGAGTCTGTCTCCAATACCTCTCGTTTTCTCCACCCTCGGCTTCTTGCCGCCGTCTGACGACTGCGAGGAGCTGAGAGGAAGAGAAGAGGCTTCAGAAACGGTTTCCATGGCTTCCAGAAAAACACAAATCGCAAAAACATAGAGTAAAACAATTTTAAAGAACGTAAAGAAAACCCACAGTTTGACGCCATTTTGGGGGAAGAAATAAATAAAAAAGGAGAGAGAAGATGGAAGCCTCCCAACCCCAAGGAAAACTCTACGACTGATTTATCATGGAAAGTTATGGAAAATCCTGTTCAAATTATCTTTACTTTCCTGGAATTTGAATTGCAAAAATTTTAGAAAATTGAAATCTGGTTTATTCTCAAATAAAAATGTAAACTAGTGTAAATCCAGTTTCCTTTTTCCCCTCATTCGTTCATTTATCTTTAGAAATCCTGACCATTCATCTGTTAAAATAAGAAGAAACTAATATCAAGAACAAATATTGTTTCCACTCTCAGTTTTCCATTTTCCAAGAGTAATTTCCATGTTTCAGAAAACTTCGTACCTGCGTCTCTTCACAGCTCCTACTAATAAATGAGCCTGAGACAGGTGGCTGGTCTTTGGCTCCGCCCCCGACTGTTTAGGCCCCGCCTTCTTTTCTGACTCTCTCCGACTCTCCGCAGATGCTGAAGCTTGCTTGACCAGAGCGCTGTAACGGTGGAGAGTTAGGGAGATCAAACACGGATAGATCAAATTTATTTCAAATACGTTTGAAATTCCAGGTTAAACTTTTTCCTTCCACTCAACTTTCTGTGAATATTCCTGGATAGAGAGCTCTGTAAGCAGGCTTTTTTAGTAATGACCTGTTGTGGCTTCTTCAGCAGACGGCTGACCAAGATTGGGAACATTTAAAGCTGCAGGAAACATTGAATTAAAGACGCTCGAGGTCCACACATTTAACTTTTCCTCAATATTAAATTTTTTAAGGCAGAATTTTAGCTGTTCGTTATCCTTAACCTACAAAAATTAAAAAGTTTAAAAAAATAATAATAAAGGCTGGAAATATCTAAATTTAGATGATGGATATAGATTATATATGAATACTTACTGACCTGAAAAAAATCAGTTTTTTATAATATTCTAATATTTTGAGATAAAGGTTTATGACAGTAAAAGTCAGAATTTTACGACAAAAAAGTTGTATTAGAACTAAGTAATAAAACTACAAGAAAAACGTCACAATGAAAGAGAATAAAGTTGTTAAAATACGAGAGTGTCGTGATAATAGAAGTAAAAATTTGTAATTATACTAAAATAAAGTCGTAATATGAGAATAATCATCAAAGTACGAGAAAAAAGTCACAAAAACACCAGATTGCTACAATATTAAAAATAACATCAGTTTTACGAGGATAAGGTTGAAAAAATCTGAGAATAAATCGTGATAATTTGAGAATGTCGTAATTATACGATATAAAATGTTGCATTATGAGAATAGAAAGAGGATTGTTGAACATTTTGAGAAATTATACTTTTGATATTGGTTTTATAAATATAAATACTTATTTCTAACACATCAGTATCAAATTTCTGTCAGTAGCAAGACTTCTTGCAAACAACTGAGTCTATTTTAACATTCTTCTGCAACTTTAAAACCACAAAATGCTGAATAATAACATTAACAATAATAAGAAAGAGTTAAATCTGTGAAGGATATTCGGTATTCCAAGAGCTCCTGCTTCTCCTCATCTCTGCGTTGCTTCTCCACCAGGACCTGCTGCCGGGAAACCTCGTCCAGGAAACTGGTCTCGTCCTCGTCCAGTCCCCTCACCATGTTTCCTGTCAGCGTACGGCAAGACAGAAACGGCATTAATCTGAGACATCCAAAGAGGAACAGTGACCTCTGTCTAATGCAGGGGTGTCCAAACTTTTTGCAAAGGGGGCCAGATTTGGTGTGTTAAAAATATAGGGGGGCCAACCTTGGCGGACGTTCTTTACATATAACACCAATTAATTTAAATACATTTCAGCGAGCTGTTGTGTGTTTCACATTTGCTTTTTTATTTTAATTTCAGCCATCTTAAGCATATGTTTTGGTTCATTTGAAACATACATATCAAAATTCAATTGACATTGAAAATTGAAATTAAATATTCATTTAACTTCACTTTTTTAACACTAACTTTTTTGTAATAGTTGAAGAGAAGTAATTGTACTCTTGGGTGCAAATTACATTTGAAACATTAAAAAAAATCTCAAAATGGGAGTTTAATATTTACAGAATTTTTAAACACAATAACAGAGAAATTGTCATATCAACAAGTGCAGGGCTCATTTAAAAATATGACAGTAACTATAAATGTTGATTAGCACACCTCTCTCTCACTTGGCGACCCGGGGACAGGACGCTGCGCACTAGTGAAACGGTGAAAGGTTTGCAATGCTTTGCGATCAGCGCTGCTACCTCGTAACTAGCCTTTGTAGCATTCTCGTTTGACTCTCGAGCTTTTGTAAAATATTGCTGCTGTGAGATTAAGCTAGCTTCAAGGTGTTTCAGTTTCTTGCTGCGTTCATTACCTGTGATCTTGTCATATGCCTCAGCATGTTTAGTTTGATAATGTCGCTTCAAAACAGCCACTGTCTCTTTACAAATGAGGCAAACACAGTTGTTATGTATTTCAATGAAGAAATAGTCCAATTTCCACCCATCCTTGAACCGTCGGCCCTCGCTGTCAACTTTCCTCCTTTTGCTAATTGCCGCCATTTTAGAAAATTGGGGGGCCTCACATATTAATTTGCTGTTCCTATTTGAGCCTCTAGATGTCAGCACTTAGAACACGCAAGTAATGTATTACACGCGGGCCAGGCGTTGTTGATTCTATGACGGAGGCTGCGGGCCGGATGAAAATTGACCACGAGCCGCATTTGGACCCCGGGCCGGACTTTGGACATGTCTGGTCTAATGGGTTCGTTCATTTTTCCAACAGTGAAAATCAAACATTTTTCAGGCATTTTCAAATCAAGTTTTCTAACACTTAATTTGCAGAAACATTTATTTAACAAAAAAAAAATCCTCCAATTTCAACAATGTTGTTTAATACTATATAAATGTCAACCTTTATTTTAATTACACACATTAATCAATAATTGATCATACATAGTGATAATAAATATTTACAACATTGAGACAATCCAAATATCTGTTAAGGCAGTCATCCCCAATCTCCGGGCCGACCAGTACCGGGCCCACCGGTACCGGGCCGTGGACCAATTGGTTCTGGGCCACGCAAGAAATAATTAAACCATCTATGTTTAGGCATCATGTGCATAACCAACACTTCGTGTCATTGTCTCTCATCACTCCCAGCTGAGAGAAACAAGCTTAGTCAGATGATTAGTCATTATCTGACTGATCTGACTAATTTTTGTGTGTGAAAGTTTTCACAAAAGTAAAATGTTCGTTTTTGTGGCGCATCTGTATCTTATTTTGAAGGGACCAGAGTCGAGAGCATGTGATCAGATGTTACTAATGGCGAAAAAGACGAAGGAGTTGACAGGAACTGGTAGGAGGATAATGGCTCATTTTCAGCAGGTGATTTAACTTCATATTATTACTCATAAATTGTATGAATAGGATGGCCAAAGTCATAAAGTTAATCAAATTTATCAAAATGGGTAACATTTTATAGCAATAATTAGTTATAAACACTCAGAAATGGCAGGCAAGATGGCCGCCATCCTGAAATTAAAGTAAGAAATAAACAAAATGAGCAGTGACATATTTTCATGCTTTCATTCACACCTTCAGGAATTTTGGGAGTATAATGGGAACAAAAGAACCTACTGAACTTGAACTGCTCCTCAAATTCCTGCTGTTTCTTCTCCTTTTGCTCCTGCAGCCGGTCATACAGGCAGCGGGGGTCGTACTCCTCCTCCGGGACCTCTGGTGAACACATAGACACAAACGTGTTTTAAAAATGGGCCGGAGTCGGCCCGATCCGGGTCTTCTGGATGCACCGCTCCCACCCTCTGGGTCGTCGGGCTTTCGGACTTTCTCCCATTCCTCCTGCCTCTTCTTCCTCCTCTCGTCGAGCTCCGATTCAGACACGAACTTCCTGCTGAGGTCGACGCCCGTCGCTTCTCCCCCGGCCATCGGAGCGACCCTAAAGACAACGGGACACGTTTAGCTGGGAGTACGGAGTTTTAAGGGAAATTAATAAAAATAAAAAATAAAATAAAAAAAAGAAACAATGTTACCATGTAAACATAATGGATATTAAGAGTGATTAAAAATATAATCAAAATGATATTTTTTTATTTTTTTACCTTAAATTGTTCTGTATGATATATAACTATTTTACAAACATATTCTTTCTGGTCAAATTAAGGTTATAGAAAGGAAAATAAAATAATTGAAAATGTATTTTTTCTGCACTTTAAAGTAGCACCAATCATCCTGACAGTAAATCAGTTTATTTTTGCCACAGTCTGCTACCATGAGCAGCAGCAGCTCCAATCTTGCTAAACCGTTCTCTCAAAAACAGACTTCTATCTGCTGCTGAATATTGACAACCACAACCTACCCAAAATAATCCTTCATTATACATTTCTTTCTTCTTCTGTTGACATAGCCATGCAAGACTGAATAAACCATATTTCTACATAACCAGAGGAAGGCCTGGACTTCTTTAAGAGTAATAAATAACTATTGAAATAACAAAATATCTGCATTTTAGTTTCAAGGAAGAATATTCTTTGTTGATTTATACATTATTTCTGGTATTTTTCATATATGCACAAGCGTTTTAAAGAATTAAATACTATGTTTATTAACTGGTTCATATGCTACTTAATTTCTCTTTTGTAACCTAACCACTCCGTCAATATTTGTTTTTTTCACATTACATATTTCTGAATAATATGGCAGACAGGAGTATATACACCATACAAACTATTTATATTCGTTAAATATTTTTATCTTAAGCAATAGTTCAAAGGATTTTACTATAATGTCTTCCATACTCAACATGAGGCTTCGAAGTCTATTGTCTAAACTTATACATAAAATTTTCTTATAAATTCTTTCGATTTCAACTCTATTAATATGACTTTAAATTACTGAGGATTTTTCACTAAATACAACAAGTATTACAAGTTTATTAACAAATGATTGTGGGAAATAATAGGTAGAGATGTCTACTCAATAATTCAGGGAAATACTAAAGAAGTATTTTAAAATTTACCCATTTCTGTGATCAGTTATGCACGTTTTCATTTAAATTGCAGACAAAACCATCCTTATTTTTGACACAACTCCTCTGTGAATATGGGCTTTGCCTGTTCTTGACCGCCAGTGTTTAAACTACTCAAGTAAATGTTATTAAATGAAAGTATGCCACTTCGATTAAAGCTTTCAGAGGAATATGTGTTAACGTGGCGTCTGTCAGGGTGTGTAAAGATAATCTGTATTCAGTTCAGGTGCAGCGAGACGCAAGCTAATGTTAGCTCCGTTAGCTTCTTGTCGCTATCAGCGACTCAAAATCTGCAGTACGTCTGACTTTCAGAAACTAAACACACACAACCTCTTAGTAATTATTCACCAGGTTCACATTAGCTGAAATAATTGTTTAATCTACAAAACTTACCGAGTTTACGGCTAGCGGGTAACAACCTACTCTTATTTATCACCACCTGGTGTTACGCTGAAAACAGTCCGACAACCAACTCATTAGTTCCGACGTAAACTGTAATTTTACATTCTGGCCAACCACCAGTAACGGTTGCCGTCAAAAATAGACAAGTACGCATTTGTTAAAAACATGTTTTAGTTTCTTCTCGTGTTTCAAATTATACAAATAAAGTTACAGGCCGAGACAACCGAAATGAAGTCAAAAATTTTCACATATTTTCAGACAGGCGACTCATTCGGATACAATTCTACGCCCATGACAGTAGGAGGCGCTGTTTCTTTCTAAACCACTAATATGTCCACATATTTCTGACGCCACAGAACAAAAATAGATGAGCAACGTAAACAAAAAATAAACACACACACATATATATATATATATATATATATATATATTATATATATATATATATATATATATATATATATATATATATATATATATATATATATATATATATATATATATATATATATAGAGAGAGAGAGAGAGAGAGAGAGAGAGAGAGAGAGAGAGAGAAGAGAGAGAGAGAGAGAGAGAGAGAGAGAGAGAGGATAATAAGTATGAAATAATTTTTAATCCAGATGAATCCAAAGTTGAAAGAAACGTGTGTGTGTGTGTGTGTGTGTGTGTGTGTGTGTGTGTGTGAGTGTGTCTGTGTCTGTGTGTGTGTGTATGTTTGTGTGTGTGTGCGTTTTTGTGTATTGTGTCTTGTGACAACAATAAATGTGAACTTTTTCACTCCTTTTCTGTGAACCAAATGATTAATATTTAGAAAAATACTCCCTCTCCACATACATATTTATTTCTTGTAACTTAGATGAGTGTAAAACCTGGAACTCAGCATCTAAGAAAAGTTAAATATTACATAAGATAAATAAAATTAGATTTTAAATGGAAATGTCAAGTTTCTGAAAAGCATGTTTATTTCTATGAATATACTTTTATTATTTTCATCACTGTTATTCTTCTATGATTTCTATAACTTATGACATGGAGAAAATGTCTTGAATGAAAAAAATCTGACAGTCCAACTAGTAATTTCTTTTATTAATATTAAGGAATTATTGACCTAAAACAAGCTCCTGCATCTTGCTGAAAATTAACTTGGGATCTAGTTTCGTCTTATTTCAAGTGTACAATGATAATTGAACTAGAAACTAGACCAATATGGTAATATTTCGTGTTTTTCAGTGTATAAATTTATAGATTTAACATATAAAGATGTTCAAATTGAATGTTTAACATTTATTGCTAAAGCTAATTTGTCTGGCTGATTATTTTACTTATGTTAATTAATCTGGTTTTTTTCACTCAATACTAAGAAATTATTGATTTCAAACAAGCTCCTAAATTTGACTGAAATTTTATTCGTTAGTTCTGTTTTATTTCAAGAGTACGAACAAAAATACTTGTAAAATTTTTTGTTAAATGACTTTCATTTTATGTTTTTCTAGATGTATCTATATATTTGTATGTGTGGAAAAACTGGGAACAATCAAATAATTCAGACACAGGCTGCTTTGTTTTTGATATAAGGTTCAACATTTTATTTATTTGTTGTTTCATTCTGCTTCAACAAAGCTGAACTGTGAAGTCCCACTGGGACAAAACATCTACAGTAAAAAACCACCAGTCTCATGATGAAAATCAATGCAAACACATAATATAAATAATTCCAACAAATATCATTATGACATAATAAAAGTACACAATAGCTTTTTTTTGATGAAACATCATCAGTTGTAGAATCAGGTATTTAATACCCTCCATTAGCTGCACTATGCAGAGCTTCACACTAGTTTTAAGAGAGACCAATCCATCATAGCTTGGATAAATAAATAGATAATAAATATGTCCTCAGAACCTCGTAGAGGTGATGCCGCCATGAACTCCAGGGGTTGCTGGGATTGGAGTTCAGCCCGACACTTCCGGCCTGACGCAGGTGCATCCCACGTTCACCTCCCGTGTCTCCGGCTTCAGCCTGTACCCGCCTTCCTGGCATTTTATCCTCTTTATGAACACCCTGGAGGCGGTGACGTTAACTGAGTTGTAGTCTTCGTTGTCTATCACCTCGCCGTTTCTGGACATGATGCAGCCCTTGCAAAGGCACACAGCCTGGGTGTACGCTTGGGGGTAGTAGTCAGGGTCTTCTACTATTCTGTGGATGAAGGAAGACGACTCAGTGAGGCTTAAATACAAACTTTAAAGGGTGAACTTGACTTTTATCTCATTCTTAACACTACTATTAATGCAGGATTTAACTTTTATGAAGAATCTGTTCTTTACAACTTTGCTGTCGGTTAAATTTGTTGATGCTTATTATCAAGGTACTGCAAACATAAGGTGTTAATATAGCATAACAATACACTGTGCTTTAAAACACAGTGTATTGTGTTTTAAAGCACAATACACTGCAAAACCACAACATCTGGCTCGCAAATAACTTTTCATTGGGAGCCAAGCATGAAAGCAACAATTTTACTCCAGTTAGTAATGTAAAGAAAAAACATTTTAAAAAGTGCAGGTATTAGGGGGCATTAGGGAAAGATTCACCATGGACATTGTTAAAGCAAAGAACACCCCTGAAGAATAAAACAGCCAGTTAAAGTTAAACCTGAACTCTGAATCCTCAGCAATGATGAGAAGCACATTTATCTGATATATAGAAACAACAAAGTTGGACAGTTGGTCTTTTTTGTTGTTCCTTTAAGATATAAGGGATCAATTGATTTGATTCCACATGCATAAATTCATGCAATAAATTCTTAGCTTTAATCGCCTCTGCATATCTAATATTTTTCTGAAACTTCACTTTGACTGTCCAATCCGATATGACCATTATTATTATTATTATTATTATTATTATTATTATTATTATTATTATTATTATTAGCTGCAATTACACAAAAAGGAAATTTAACTTATTTTAATCTGAGGGGCATAAAGAAAAGAAAAGAGAATAAACTGGCACAAATAGAGACTTTAAAGATTGTATTAGCGTGGAAGTGGGAAATTTTCTGATTTGAAGTCTAACTGGGAAATCATCTGGAGTTTCCATCAGTCTGTCAACATGCAGGTTGGATTTTCTTTTCTCTATTTTATCTCAATCAGCTTCTGTTTTGTTTCCTTCACAGTTACAATAAATAAGTAAGAATAAAAAAGAAGAATATTTTGCGTTTTGAATTAAAGCCTCTACTCACATGTATGTCCAGGGAGACAGGGAGCGATTCTCCTTGGACCCAGATGCGCCCAGCCTGAAAAGGTCCAACGGGCATTCAGAGGAAGAGTTCCTAGTGGGTATAGAGTCTGGAGGGGGTGTCGGGTTCGGGGAATGTAGAAACTTCTTCATCATCTTCAGCGCCTTCTTGTCCAGATCGGCACCATCATAGCAATAATCCATCCTCACGGACACGACGCTCAGCGCCAGGATGAAGATCTGTAAAGAGGAGAGGGAGGGTGAGAATGATGAGGATAGAGGAGGAGGAGGATGGAGGAGGATGAGGATGGAGGAGGATGAGGATGGCGGAGGATGAAGGAGAAGGAGAGTGTGAGAGATTCCCATCACTCACCTGAGCTAGTTCCATGTTCTTTTGCAGACTTTTACTCCAGCAGATGGTTTAATCTCTGTGATAAATCCTGGCTGTAATTTGCGCTTGGGCATTCGGACTTTAAATCTGTCCTCGTTCCGTCGCGCTCCGCCTCGCTTGCACCTGATTGGACGGGAGGAGGGAAAAACGGAGGGGAAACACCGGCGGTATGAGGAAATGGAAACGCTCCCAGACTTCCTCTTTCCCAAATGAACCAAGAGAGAGAGAGAAAGAGAGAGAGAAAGAGAGAGAGAGAGAGACGCACAATTACAAGTATGATTAACAAAAACAAGCCGGTCCAGGTAACCGGAAGTGGCCAGATTGGCGATGATCTCACCTGCTGCAGCAGCTGCTTTTAAAACTAGTCAAATATGACTGCAAATGCAGAAAATGATAATGATAAAAATCAAATGAAGATAAATTAGCAATGCCAATGTATAAAATCTTACCAAGTGTGTTTGGTTTAGTCAGTGCAAATATCTTCGTAAACTTGAAATAAGACTAAACTAACTTACAGGAAACTTTTCAGGACAAGAAAGCAGCTTAATGTTGATGGAAAATTACTAGTTCCACTGGCACATCCCATTCACAGTGACTTATCTCCAACATTTCATCATGAATCACATGTTGTAGTGCAAACCAGCATTTTATCTGGTCTTAAAATTACTTTAGAAGACAGTTAGTTTTTTTTTTTTGTCTCTTCAGTCTTTCCTGACAGGTTCTGATGAACTGATCACAGTTGATGAGCTGAGAAACATCTGACTGAGATGAAAGCATGGAAAAATGTCCAGTATGAATAGAAGTAAATATATTAAGTTTCTGCTTTAAAAAATATTTTTATTATTAGTCTAAATTTACTTTTCACCTTTTACAAAAAAGAAAAACTTAACTTTGTCTTTTTGTTAGATTTTAGCCTTAAAAATAAAAAACTAACAGAACTAAATATGTGCATTTAAATAGATTACTGATATTTGTGGCACATGAGTTGCACTTTTTAAATGGGAAATTGGCCCCTAATGAGATTCTGTTTGGGACCTCAGATCATTTTGGATTAAATAATCTTAATTTCCACTTTCTCTCCATGTTATCTCACACTGTGAGATAACATGGAGTGTGGCGTTGTACTGTCTCTTTAAAATCTTTTCTTGTCCAAACGAGATATAATTGATATTTTTAGTCGAAACAGGAAGAGATAGTTTATGTTCCCCATTTTATTGAACAAATCTTCCCTGACTCTGTAAGGTAACCAGATCCGCCATGCTGTTTGGACAGAACATGGAAAAAAAGCGGAAAATTATGTAAATTTATTGTTTTCAGGAAATAACCCTGAAATAAATAGCACAAAAATAGAGACTTCTATGTTGTGCTGTATTTCGATTAGTTTAATTTCTTAGGTTTTTGTGAAGTACTTTTATGTGAGTGAATTCTCTTACAAAGAAGAAACCAGGGCAACGCGGATAAAGGCTGAAGTTCATTGAAATGAGCAGCAGGGGGCGCTGATGAGACCAACTAAGAAGTTGCGAACTCAAACAGAACATATTTAAATATTTTTGAAGCTAAAGTTTTTGAGTTAAAGTTTTTGAGCCGGAAAGTTTTCCTCGTGTGAAAAGTCGAACATTTTCTCCAGTTCCAGTTTTTATTTCGTCTCTGTTTGGAGCCGCTTGCAGGATTTCCGACCTTTTCATGGCGATGATGATGATGATGACGACGATGATGAAATCCTTCAAACCTGACGTGCAGAAACGTAAAGTAGACGTATGAGATCCAAGCCTGGCTCAACCTGTTTAAGGTTTGATTTTATTTTTGTAGATGTTGTAGGGCAAAGGTCAGCAGAGCCGCACGTGCGAGATGCTGCCAGGACAAAACAATTAGTCTGGAAAGTTTTATTTAAGCTGTTGATCACTCAGGATGAGATCATAAGAAAACGCCTCTAAAACTTGAATTACAGCTCAGTTTTCTTCAGCTCCTCCTCTGGTGATGCAACGCTGCTCGTCCTAAAATAGCACCATAAATAATTTTAGTCTACAGCAGAAATTCCAGCATCTTGTTCAGAGCAGCTGCCAAGTAAATCACCAGACCAAATGCGAAGGTCATCCTTTCCCGAAGAGTCTTCATAGTCGCTTTGTTGAGTCTGCAACAATGCGCCGACACACCCAGGGTGATATCCTGTTTCAAAATCAATGCAGGAAATCTGACACTGAGTCACTATACCGAAAAGTTTGACAGGACAAAAATAAGAAAGAAAAAAGACAAAAATAAAGAAAACAGAACCAGACAATTATTGAGGGAATTCTGGAGCTTTTGAAGGGACTGAAGAGGGAAAGTTCACTTTTAAATGTGACGAGACAAAGAGAGAGCAAGTAGTAAAATTTCAACAATTTATTCCCAAACTTTTCCCAGAAAAAACATAAAATCCCACGACACTTGAATCAAGACAAAACAAGAAACTCAACAGCAAAATATAAGAGCTTATTTTAGGTTAAAACATTTACATTGATGAAAAAGTTATAATCTGCCAATTTCCTTCAGTGTTCTTAAGAAGTGTTTAACTGAAGAGTGTAAATGTTGCTTGTGAAGTCTTTTAGTTCATTATGTCTGAGGTTCATGCTCTTTTTTTGGTAGTTTTTATTTTATGTGCATTTAAGTGAATTTTATGGATGACATCCAGCTCAGGAGCCAAATTTATAAAAAACATACTTTCTAAAAATAAAATGACAGTATTTTATTTATTTTTGTTTTGTCTTTCATAGTAATTCGAACACATGCTCACTCTTCGCAGCAAGAAAGTTCAGTGGTTGAATTTTTAATATTCTCTAAAAACTATCGATGTGTGCAAATTCAATAATAATAACAAAATATTTCAATAAAATAAAGGTTGCATGGTGGGACCGTTGGTAGCACTGTTTTCCTGCCAACTTGTTCCCAAAGCTGCATGTTGTTCATTAAATGTAAATTCAACAATTATTGCAATATTTACAATAATGTTTGTCACACTTTTCACATCTGATCTTACAACATGAGAACATGTTCTGTATTTAAAAATCTCCCATTAGTTCAGGTTTATGTTTAATTTGAATTTTATCTGTGCTGTAATATTTTACAGTTGCTAATTTTGTTTTTAGACATTTTTATATTCAATGGAACTTTTTACTGCTGTGACAGGTGAATTTCCCCAGTGTGGGATTAATAGTTCTTCTCTTCCACATTTCCTTTCTCTACACATTATCGTTAACCCCAGCGCCTTTGTACTTGCGTGTTCGCAAATTCAGCTATTTCTTTAGTCTTCAATTTATTTGTGGGAAATTCACAGATTACTTGTGTTTTCGAAAAGCTAATCTTAAAAAAAATATGCGGAAAAAAAGGCGGCTTTGGAAGCTAGGACAGCTAGCTACAGTGCTGCTCGACACGCTATTGGCTGGGGGTCATTTTCCTTCGCGCTCATTGGCTGGACGTCCAAACGCGTAAACTTGGAATGCCGTTGATGTTACCGTTAGCACAGAAGCTAACGGATATTTCGGCATGTTTGGTTTTTAAACTACGAAAATAGGGAAGGTATAAGTCTAAAAGACTCGCGAATTGAAGCTCCACAATATTAAATGCGGCTCAACCTGATAAATGTTATCATTCATATGTTTTGTTATTATCATTCATATCTGCTTCAGAAAGTTTTGTCTGTCTCTTCTGTTTCAAGAATGACAGCAAAAATAAATATCCAGGTGATTTTAATTAAACTCTTTGACTTGATTAGATTAGGTTGTGAATGCATTGTTTGTCTTGTGATGGATGGCATGACATGTTCAGGCTCCTCCCCCAACAACTGCTGGTGAAATACGCAGAAATTTGATGCCAAAATTAAAATTCAAAGAAAGAAGAAACTGAAAGTGTAGTGTAGAAGTAACATAAAAAAAACCTCAAACAGCACGAGATCATCAAGAAGCTTCTGCTTTTCTCCCATCAGGTGATGGAGGGAAAAACTGCAATCATCAAACAACAACAATGTGTCAGCAGTTCTGCAACAAAAACTGGTTATCACAAACCAACAGGCATTTTTTGATGGCTACTTTTTACTTTTACTTCAGTAAAAATATGTGTAAGTAGCGCTACTCTTACTTGAGCAGCACTCGGCAATATCTTTGAAGAAACATATTCCAAAAACATCATATTTTTCTGTGAAATAAACACAATTAAAATGTCCGTAAACAAATTGCTGAATCAGTGAGCAGACGTTCTTTCTCCATGGTTTTCTGCGTTGTTTCTGGATGAGTTGGATCCTCTTTCAGGACAATGAGCGTCTTGTTTTTCCACGGCTGTAAATCAGAAACAGGGCTACTAACCTCAGACCGGCAGAACCTGGTGGATTCCACGGTTCCTCAATCCTTCCTCACTTTCTCGCCGTTGCTTTCACCTTTCCAGCACAACATTCCTTTTCTCCAGCATCAGACTGTTGGTTAAAAATCAATGCATCTGTCATTGTGTCGTTGGTTATCCTTTAACTAGACCGATAAAATGTAATAGCCTGTTTGATCGAGGTTTTTTCCCTCGTTTTGCAGAACTTTGGGGTTTTTTCTCCTCTGATTTCAGCTCTAAAACCCGGACAGCACTCATCGGTGATATATAATGGCCATAAAAAGTGTTTTATTGGGTTTTCAAATCAGGCATGATGAATAAAACTTGGCTTCTTTGACAAAAAGAAAACTTAAATGCATATTGAGAACTGATTTCTGCCAAAAAGAAAGACACTCAAGTAAAAATATGTGACATTTCATTAGAAATTGAATAAATATTCTCACCGTTCAAGTCAATATTTAGTAAATGCACCTTTGGTTTTCCAGCCAGGATCCTGCAGTTTCCTTCCTTTCTTCCTGCGACACTGTTCCAATTTGATAGGAAACAGTTGTGAACAGGTCTGGGCTTTGACTAGGCCACTCCAGAACCTCCACTTGTTGACTTAATACCATCTCTGTGTAGCTTTAGTTCGTTGTTTTGCTGGAAAATAAATGTCCCCTAAGGTCAAAGTTATCTTGCAGATGGAAATAATTCATTA